CAGCAACAGAGTTTTGATTAGATTGATAAGCAAATATAATATATATGAGCTAACAACCAAAAGCAGTGATATTCAAGAGCATTTATTATACCCATACTAATTTTTTTTCAGAACAGTATTAGAAATCACCTTCAGGGTAATTTCCAGTAATAAGCATACATAAATAAAAAGTATGATGTGTCCAATGAAAAGTTAATAGATCTCAGAAACCATTAAAACTTCTCCCAGCAAAGAGAACTGGGAGCTAACAGGACAAGTACTCAGGGGGCCAGTACTAGGGTGGCAAAAATACAAAGATGCAAAGGTAAAAAGAAACTAAATTCTCTAAGGATTGCTGAGATTCAAATACATTGCTTGAAACCAAATGCATTGTTCAAGATAGGAAATATCAGGAAATAAAAAAAAATTTTGTTATATAAAACAAGTGGAAATAAAATAAACCAGACAGGAAGTAAAAATGTGGGGGGCTAAACTTTGACCACTAATTAATATAAAGGAAGTCACACGAACTTATGCTTCTCACTCTAACTACAAAAACTTGCCTGATAATCTGCAAAAATCTTCTAAGTCCAAGACTTAAAGGATCATAGAACTGAGGTTGCAAAGAAAGCTAAAGTCACTACTATAAGCAACAAGTCTCATCTTGGAGAAAAAAGGGAGTTTAAGTTTACCTGATTATTTTTGCTCACATGCTTTTTCACATGAATGATATAATATGATGAAGACTAGATACGTCGTAAGGAAGCTGAAAGAGTCTGTTCTAAAGCAATAAGATTTTTTTCCAGTGAGAATCAGAGCCTTAAGAATGTTTCAAGGCAGAGCAGCTCAGAAAAATACTTCTGAGAAACCTTGGGCCTATCCACTAAACTGCAACAACCTTTGAAGCTTAGGTAAAGCAGCAAGGCAGAAAGTAATCTCTTTAGGTGCAGAAAGTCGTGGGTAGAATTAAAAAGCAGAAAGAACTTGTAGGAATCCAAAAAAACTAGCAGTTGGGTTGAAAAGCAGAGAAAAATCCTCTTTCCTTTGGGAAAGTTGAGAGTTGGGGAGTTAATTTTTAAAAAATCTCTGGAATTTGTTTGTGCTTACATTTTGATATCTAATGAAAGAAAATTCCTGATTCTGTACTGAGAATATTTGCATTTAATAGTGAAATGAATCCCAACTAAATACACTACAAAGCAGAGATTCATCTTAACTATGGACCGGATTGACTTAGCACTTCAGACTTGCAGCATTACTGCAAATATTTGCCTTCAGTGGGAAAAAATATTATTTACTTCAGTCTCTACATTTCCTTATCTCGTGATGTCTAACATACAGTAATAAGAAAAACAAAACAAAACACTACGAGTCATTTCATGAAGCAAGAATATATGACGTATGGTCAAGAAAGAAAAGAAAATGTTACAGATGTTATAATTATCAGAAAAGGTTTTAAAGTAAATCAGATAACTATATTAAAGGATGTAGTATAAAAAGGGAAAACAATGAACTTACTGAAATATTCTTTAGATGGAAGCTTAAAGTTGAACTAGATCAAAATACTAGAAAAAATAAGATATAAAAATAAAAGTCTGACTTGGAAGGCTTAATAAGGGCCTGTCAGCATGAGAAAACATGAGGAAGCCTGAAGACAAACTGATATATGAAGAAAGGAGTGAAAAACCAATAAAGCCTTCAGTGCATACGGAGAAATATTAAATACCCTAAAATATGCACACATTTATTCTAAAAAGAAGAGGAAATAGAGAATGGGGCAGAAAAAATATTTGAAGAAATTCAATCTAAGAGAGAGAAAGTAAGTACACATTGTGATATCTTTCTTAATCTGCTGAAATAAAAGAGAAAGAACATTTATTGAAAGCAGCTAGAGGGAAAAATAAAGGCATATTATAGACCGTGTAACATTGACAAGATATGGCTGACTTCTCACCTGAAGGTTAATAAAGATTATCGAATGAGAGCTTTAAAGAGAAAAAAAAAAACAACAAACTGTCAACCTAGAATTCTGTATATAGAAGAAAGTATTCTTCAAACATGTAGGCAAAGTGAAAATATTTTCAGTCAATAGTTTAGAGAACTTATGTAGAGCTGATTTCTACCACAGGAAATGTCAAAAGAAGTTTTTCAGGCTGAAGATGCATAAGATGAAAGCCAGTAACTGCAGAGACAAACAGCAGCAGAAGTCACAACTATATATTTAGATATAAAGCTATATTGATCAAGAAAATGTAGTATTGCTTTGAATGTAGACAAACAAATAAATGGAACAGATAGAAAAATTCAGAAAGATACTTATCCTTATGCAGTAAATTTATTTTGAATGATGATCGAAGTTAATTCAGTAGAACATCTTTATAACATATGGTGCTGGTAGAAAAATTCAGAAAGATACTATCCTTATGCAGTAAATTTATTTTGAATGATGACCGAAGTTAATTCAGTAGAACATCTTCGTAACATATGGTGCTGGAACAATTCTACATTTTTATATATATATATATATGTGTGTGTGTGTGTACATATACATATATACATGCAAAAGAATGAATAGATAAAACTTTATCCATCTGACTTTATATACAAGTTAAATGCATCATGTAATAGCACAGAATGATAGATTCTGACTTTATCAAAAGATACAAATAAAATGAGTAGGACAGTTATAGAATGGAAAAATATTCATAACAAATGAATGCACAATTCTATTAAGAATAAATTATTTATATCAAATATATGTATGGAGCATTAACAAATGTAGTAAAAAGGCAAACAATATTGTACACCCAGGCAAAAAATATAGATTCAACCTTATTTGTGATCAAGGGAATTCACATTACATTAAACATGTGTTATCAATTCTTACACAGTGGAACTGTTAACATATAAAAGACTGACAATAAAAAGTACTGGTGAATGTAAAGCAACTAAAACACCCACACATTGCTGATGGGAGCATAAAATGATATGACAAATTTTGAACTATCTGGCAATTTTCTCTAAAGTTAACTATATATTAACCTATGAGACAGGCTTTTTACTCCTAGCCATCCACACTGAGTAAAAAATTGTTTAAAACATTCTTTTTTACATAAAAAGTAAAAAAACAAAAATTAAAAAACTTATACAAACATGTTCAAAGCAGATTTATTAATCAGCAAAACCAGGATATAATCTAAATATACACAAACAGCTGAATGGAGAAACAAACCGTTAGCCATGGAACACTACTACAGCAATAAAAACTCAACAAACAGGTTTGTCAAAGATCAGTCAGCTGTAGATGTGTGGTGTTATTTCTGAGGACTCCGATCTGTTCTATTCGTCTACATATCTCTTTTGGTGTCAGTACTGTGCTGTTTTGGTTACTGTAGCCTTGTAGCATAGTTTAAAGCCAGATAGTGTGATGCCTCCAGCTTTGTTCTTTTTGCTTAGGACTGCCTGGGCTACATGGGCTCTTTTTTGGTTCCATATGAAATTTAAAATAGTTTTTTTCTAATTCTATCAAGAAATTCAGTGGTAGCTTGATGGAATGTGGGGCTTAAAACCTAGATGACAGGTTGATAGGTGCAGCTAACCACCATGGCATATGTATATCTATGTAACAAACCTACACATTCTGTATATGTATCTCAGAACTTAAAGTTAAAAAAAATTGACCAAAAAAATGTACACAATAACATGTATTAGTCAAAAATTATGTTGACCAAAAGAAAGCAGGCACAAAGAGTACACACTGCAGTTTTTAGTTTATTTGAATTTTTAGAACAGACTGCACCAATAAGTGGAAACTGAAATCCTAATATTTTCTAACCTGTGTAAAATCAGGACCCACTAGTAAGGACTAAATTGTATTCTGAGGTGAGAAAGGTGTCAAATCTTGAATGGGTGATGGTAATCTGGTGTATACCTTTATAAGAACTCATTGAATTATAAAATTTAAGATATGAGTATTTCAGTGCATCTAAATTTTATCTCTGGGGAAACTATGAGGAGATATAGAATAACTGCATTAATGATGCTGAAGGTATTTTAATGGTTGTTTTGTCATAAAGTCAGCTCTAGGCACATTCCAACCTGGCCATACCACATCTTGATTATTGTATTTTATATCAAAAACCAAATTTATAATGTTTGCCAGTGTATGCATTTGTAGAGGATTATAGTCCTTAAAATATCATTAAAAGAGAAAGGAAGAAATAAGTGGCAATGCTTATCATGGAAAATAGACTACATCTTGTTGCAGGATTACTAGATGTTTACAAATAACAGAAGGATGATCACATGAAGCAGGAAGCAAATTAGCTAAGTATGAGACAAGGGACATACCAATGACAAACTGATGGAGTCCAAAGGATAAAATGTTTTTATTATTTATTCATGCAAATAGTAAATCAATCTGAATTTATTCTGTAATAGAAATAAGATAGTGTGGGCTGGGCACAGTGGCTCATGCCTGTAATCCCAGCACTTTGGGAGGCTGAAGTGGGTAGATCACAAGCTCAGGAGTTTGAGAACAGCCTGATCCCATCTCTACTAAAAATTCAAAAAATTAGCTGGGCTTGGTGGCACATGCCTGTAATCCAAGCTACTTGGGAGCCTGAGGCAGGAGAATCTTTTGAACCCGGGAAGTGGAGGGTGCAGTGAGCTGAGATGGAGCCACTGCACTCCAGCGTGGGTGACAGAGCATGTCTCTGTCTCAAAAGAAGGAAGGAGGGAGGGAGGGAGGGAGGGAGGGAAGGAAGGAAGGAAGGAAGGAAGGAAGGAAGGAAGGAAGGAAAGAAGGAAGGAGGGAGGGAGGGAGGGAGGGAGGGAAGAAAGGAAGGAAGGAAGGAAGGAAGGAAGGAAGGAAGGAAGGAAGGAAGGAAGGAAGGAAGGAAGGAAGGAAGGAGGCTTTCCTCAGCTGCCGCCAAGGTGCTCGGTCCTTCAGAGGAAGCAAAGGCCGCATTAAGGTACGGCCCTCACTTCATCTGGTAACCAGCACCACACTCACCGGCACCATGGCCTTAGTCTCCAAGCTCACCTGCATCTACTTGGCCCTCATTCTGCACGACGATGAGGTGACCGTTACAGAAGTTAAGATCAATGCCCTCATTAAAGCAGCAGGTGTAAATGTTGAACGTTTTTGGCCTGGCTTGTTTGCAAAGGCCCTGGCCAGCATCAACATTGGGAGCCTCATCTGCAATGTAGAGGCTGGTGGGCTTGCTCCAGCAGCAGGTGTTGCTCCAGCAGGAGGTCCTGCCCCCTCCACCACTGCTGCTCCAGCTGAGGAGAAAGTGGAAGCAAAGAAAGAAGAATCCGAGGAGTCTGATGATGACATGGGCTTTGGTCTTTTTGACTAAACCTCTTTTATAATGTGTTCAATAAAAAGCTGAACTTTAAAAAACAGAAAAAAGAAGATAGTATGTATTTTTGGTTTGGGGGGTATTCAAGAACAGGGAAAGAATCTGCACCTGGCTGGGATGTTGTAGCTGCATTTAAAAATTGTGGTTAGTAGGCTAATCAACTTTGTTTTCTTTAAATATGGAAGCTTATTGGTGTTGCTGCCTTTTTTTTTTTTTTTTTTTTTTTTAGTATCTTCATATCACTATACTGTGTAGTAACAATTTACTTTTTCAGGCCTAAAACATTAGTAACAATTAGTAACATAAGGAAACTGATATATATATATATATATATATACACATATACATACATACATATATAATCAAATCTCATTCTTTAAGACAGTCAAATTATTTTTTAAAAGAACATTAATTGATGTTTTGTTTCCAGTAGGACTAGTTTGTGCATAGCTTCCAATCATATTGAAAATTATCCGTGATGCTAGAATTTCTATAGTAAAGGTTAACTGAAAACTCATCACTGTTAGGCACTGGGAAAACACTACTGGGAGGCAGTCCAAAATTTATGTAAACCCATGTCATAATTATTATATTTTTTAAATTTTCTCTTCCAGCCCCAAAATTAATATACTACTATTTGAGCTACATCACATTTAGGTGTATTTTCTTATTCCTGGACAGTTTTATTCTTACCAATAGTTCAACTTAATGTATCAACACGGTTAGGGATAGGCAGCTGAAAATGGAATGGCGGCCGAGGCGGGCGGATCACAAGGTCAAGAGATCGAGACCATCCTGGTCAACATGGTGAAACCCCGTCTCTACTAAAAATACAAAAAATTAGCTGGGCACAGTGGCGCGTGCCTGTAATCCCAGCTACTCGGCAGGCTGAGGCAGGAGAATTCCCTGACCCCAGGAGGTGGAGGTTGCGGTGAGCTGAGATTGCGCCATTGCACTCCAGCCTGGGTAACAAGAGCGAAACTCCACCTAGAAAGAAAGAAAGAAAGAAAGAAAGAGAGAGAGAGAGAGAGAGAGAGAGAGAGAGAGAGAGAGAGAGAGAGAAAGAAAGAAGGAAGGAAGGAAGGAAGGAAGGAAGGAAGGAAGGAAGGAAGGAAGGAAAGAAAGAAAAGAAAGACAGAAAGAAAGGGAGAGAGAGAGAGCAGGAAGGAAGAAAGGGAGAGAGAGAGAGAGAAGGAAGGAAGGAAGGAAGGAAGGAAGGAGAAAGAAAGAAAGAAAGAAAGAAAGAAAGAAAGAAAGAAAGAAAGAAAGAGAAAATGGAATGGCAACTGTCTGTTAGTATTGGCTCAAAAGACAGGATCATGCCATTCTGTATCAAATCCAGAATACAGTTAACATAGCTGGAAGTATATTCCAGAGATAAATATTGAAATAGCAATCAAAGTGGATCAGAGGAATGTTTGTAACTAGAGGACCAAAGTGAATGAAATGGAATGAGATGTGTATTCTGAGTAGAAATCAGAGTTCAGGTAAATGGATAATTCTTAATTGGACAGTCAGGTAGCACCTAGCATCTCTCAGGTTATTTTTGATATTTTGATTATTTTTTGGTGATAACAACTTAGAATTTTAGTTTTTAATATGCTAGTAACTAAGACAAATTTTTAATGTCATTATAACTTATCAGTTGGTATAGCTTGTATTATTTGTCCATGGCTCTTCCTGCTTTCTCTACTTTTGACATAGCTTCCCTGTGGGTAGATTGTACATTTTTGCCCACTAATTTGTGGTTTTGTCATGTGAGTTGCTTTACACGATGGAATGTGTACAAAAATAATTTCAACATGAGATTTTAGAATTCTCAAAAACGTACCACCTGCCTTCTTGGGGCTGCTGGCCTTGATTATACAGAATCCATGACCAGGAAGCCTTTGCTTAGTCCCTAGTATGAAGATTTACCTGTAGCAGATCTAATTAATATACTACTATTTTAGCTGGACCACATTTAAATGTGCTTTATTGCTGTTTATTGCTGTTGCTACTGTTGTTTTCTTAGTATGTTCATATCACTATACTGTGTAGCAACAATTTACTTTTTCAGACCTAAAACATTAGTAACAATAACTAACATATGGAAACCAAATATATATACTTAACGCAAAGCTAGTAGTTTTTCCCAGTTCAACAGAGCCCAGGCAATTCCACCTGAGCTTAATCAAATTGCAACTTACCTATAAATCCATAAGCACTAAATAAATGATTGCTTTTATACAAGGTACTAGATTTTTGGCATTGGTTGCTATGCAGCTTTATCATAGCATCTGTGTTACCATTCAGAACCTGAGCCTAACTAAACATTGTTTGTTCATAATGATTGGAGGCTTAGATGTGGTATATGCTATTTCAATTAGAGCAAAGATCATATGTTTATTCTACAAAATCCTTTTTCAGTGTGACTACTATGAGTTAGACAATGTTCACAAAATTTTAAGTAAAAATAGACATGGTCTATGCTTTTATGTCACTTATTTTCTGTATAACTAGACAGTTATTAATTAGAATACTGCAAATACAAATATTAGTTTTCAACTGTTCTAAGGGCTACTAAAAGAATACTTTGAGATGAGGTTTAGACCCAGCAAGAAAGGTTAAGGGATTCTAAAGATTAATACTCAAGGCACAATGTAATCATTTCAAGGAGTTGGTTGACTGAGGAGAGAAGAGCATTTTAGCAGAGGTACAAAGCATGTTGGGCAAGGTATATCATAGTAAATACAAAAAAACTAACATAATGCTAATTCTGGGAGTGTGCAGGAAAGCAGATGGGACATAATTTGGGATAAAGATAAAAAAGTAATTAGGATAAAATTATAGAACCGTTTTAGGCTGAATTTGGGTTTTTGCTTTTTGCTCTGGAACACTGGGAAGCCCTTGAAATGATGGAAGCAGCATGATAGACATAATCAATTTTGCATTTTAAGAATATGGCAATTATTGAAGTGAAAGATTATGTTAATTTAGACTAATATAGTTGGGATGGAAATTAAAAATGATAAATTTAAGGATGGTTATTAGGTAATATAAATAGCAAATGCTGTAATTTATTAAAGGATTGAGAGAAAAGATAGAGCCAGGAATGACTCTTAGGTTTTTGGCTAGTATCTAGGTTATTAGGTGAGAAGCTAATAAATGGCTAACTCAAAATATAGGCCCATATACAAACTTGGTGCTGATGCATTTTGTAAGCAAAATGTTTTCATAAAGGTCTCCAGATTTTATGGTCCCTTTATCTGTATATATTCTATCTTAAAAGATCCAACATTGAAAAAAAATTTTAATAGAAGTCAAGACTAAGAAAATCATTCAAAATCATGCATTTACATGGGAATTATACAACATACTCCTGAAAAATTTGGGGGTAACTAATGAAATTAAGGCAGAAATCCAGACGTTCTTTGAAAAAAACAACATATCAGAATCTATGGGACACAGCTAAGACAGTGTTAAGAGGGCAATTCATAGCACTAAGTGCCCACATCAAAAAATTAGAAAGATCTCCAATTAACAACCTAACTTCACAAATGAAAGAATTAGAGAAGAAGAAAAAAATCAACCCCAAAGCTGGCAGAAGTTGAGAAATAACAAAAATTGGAACTGAACTGAAGGAAATCGAGATATAAAAGACCATTCAAAAGATCAGCAAATCTAAGTGTGGAATTTCAAAAAATAATGATAAAATAGGCCACTAGCTAGAGTAATGAACAATAGAGAGGAAATCCAAATAAACAATTAGAAATGCCAAAGGGAATGTTACTACTGACCCCACAGAAATAAAAACAACCACCAGAAACTACTATGGACACCTCAATGAACACAAATGAAAAAAATTTATATATATAGAAAGAATTCTCATGACTCTGTCTGTGAAGAAGGCATAACAAATAAATCTGTTTCATTGAGGAAATTCAGGAACAGCTCAACTTTAAAATTAGCTGGGCGTGGTGGCTTACACCTGTAATCCCAGCTACTTGGGAGGCTAAGACATGGGAACTGCTTGAACCGGGGGCGGGGGGGGGCGGGTAGAGGTTGCAGTCAGCTGAGATTGCACCACTGCACTCCAGCCTGAGCGACAGAGTGAGAGTCCATCTCAAAAAACAAAACAAAGAAAAGGAATAGTAACAACAAAAAAGACAAAGTATCAGCAATTGATTTGAATATCTGGAGAATACATTTTTTGAGAGCTCAAAAACTATGTGTTGAGAATAACCATGAGTCATTGATTTCTTGCAGTCAATTGTGGAGTAGATTGTCATAATATTTATCATTGCTTTTTATTAGTTATACTTAAATGAGTTTCATTGAGGGATATAATGTGATAAAATATTTGAGATTTAATGTTAGAAAACTTGGCTTTGGTTATTGCTTTGTATGAAGAGTTACATGATCTTGGTAAAATCTTATCTTTCTTGGTTTTAGTTTCTGTACCTAAAAATTTAGATGATTATTGGAAGGCCGATGTGGGTGGATCACAAGGTCAAGAGGTTGAGACCATCGTGGCCAACATGGTGAAATCCCATCTCTACTAAAAATACAAAAATTAGCTGGGCCTGGTGGCATGTGCCTTTAGCCCCACCTACTTGGGATACTGAGGCAGGAGAATAGCTTAAACCCAGGAGGTGAAGGTTGCAGTGAGCCGAGATCTCACCACTGCACTCCGGCCTGGCAACAGAGCAAGAGTTCGTCTCAAAAATAAATAAGTAAATAAAAATTAGATGATTAGACTAAATTAATGGTGGCACACTTCCTCTGCCTCCACTTTCATAATAAAAGACTGCACTTCTGATCATATAATTTAGAATAATTTTTCAATATGGTAGCATGATAAAAGCAGCAGATCTTTTGGATAATAAGTCTAATTTAACTGTTTGGCCAGAAGCAATATGTGGAAATGGCTCTGAGACTCACTAATGACATATATGTTTAAAATCTTTCACTATGTTTATGTCTACTACTTTTTAAGTCTACAAATGTTTGCTTTATGTATTTAAAACTATATTTTTGGGTACATGGTGTATC